CTTGACACAGTTATCCTGGCGCTAGAGCACCAGTCAGATACAACCGAAGCCCAATCTCCCTGGCTATCCTGGAGAGTTTGCTCATCACATCCTCCTGCTGATCAAGTTCTGATTCCTGGAGTTTCCTGTCCCTCTGAAGTGCTACCTGGGCATCAAAGGTTTTCTCCGTCTGGCAACCTTCCACTGCATATGATCAGGCTGAGCACAATTTGATGGACAGCTGCCCTGGCATCATGAGAGGATATGATTCAATTACCTGCATTTTTCCAGAACTGATGTAATTATCCTCAATTTTTTCATGTACAGTAATTTCAATCCTAACTTCTATCTCTGGCAATAATCCTAACGGTGGACATTTTATGTTTGTTAAGGAGGAGGTTTGAGTCATTTTAATGAGAATTAGGTTATGTCTGTTCTCTTAGTTATATACAATTTTTAGCCCACTGCAATATGTTTAAAAGTAACTGTATAGAACAACACCCAGGAGTTTATTTTTTTAATTTGATTTTTTAAAATGAAGTGTATTTTAAGACATATGTAAACAAAAGATTTTGGTTGTGCACTGAAGATGGGCTCCTTATTTCTCTTAGAAAACTGTCAGTTAAAGCTATCCTGATGTCCAGCTTGGAGAAAGGGGCAGGCCTTCATGCAAAAGTTGACTCCAGTTATGGGTTTTGAGGGATGAGTAGGAGTTCTCCTGGTTAAAGAAGACTGGATGAAGACCCCTTTGGAAGCCTTCAGAACAACTGATTGATTACTTTTGAAGCCTAACTTGGTGCCTCTGTCCTTGTGTCTGAGCACCAAGCACCTATGGCCCTTGATGACATTGAGCTTCATTTTGTGGTGCATTTTCAATCACGACCTCTCCATCTTGTTAAAATCCCATTTATAGAAGACGTGTATGTGTATGTAAATGATAAATATTTTCCCTGTGTCAATGAGGGTTGGGTTAGGCTTGTTTTCTTAGCTATGCCCACATTTTAACTCCATATAAAATAAAACGTTTAAAAAAATCATTTCTTTGATAAATGAAATTTTAAAGGCTCTGAAGGATGTTTTAAAATCTGATTTTCTATTTCTCATGCATTTTAAATGTATGCAAATAAAAGAAGTTTAATGCACTGAAAATGGCCATGTAGCGTGTGATTGGAGACCACCATGCAGCATGCAATGAAAATCGACCATGTAACATGGCATAGGAGATTATGTAACATGTGATGGGAGATGATCCCGACCCTGATCCCTTTCCCAGAAATACATTCCATAGGATTAGCCAGTTGGATAGAGGAGTTAAAAGCAGACCAGGAAACTCAGAGGTGAGGGGTTTTCTCCTGCGCAGTAGGAGTCCCAACTGACCTAGAGATACCCTCTGCTTCGTGAACGTGGTAAATCATCCTCCCCCCAGCGCCGTGACAGCCTGGAGGAGGACTAAATGAGGGCTGAAAAGGGGAAGCATCCCAATCTCCTGCTGCCGGAAAGATGCTAGACAGGGTCAACATTTATTTGTTCAAATGAAATAAAACTCTTGCTTTGTCATCCCGTGGTAGGTTCGGTTCCTTCTTCTGAATGTACTTTTGCTCTGAATCAATGCTTGCCTGAGTGAAACACTGCGTTTGTGGAATATTTCATTATCACACGTGAGCCCTGAACTTCCCCTTCTTGGAAGGGGTGGAGCAGGAGACAAGGGTCGTCCAGGTGGGCGGGGTGGGGGCTCCTGAAGCAGCACGTACCCCGTGGACTGCACAAACCCAGCGTGGAGCTGCAGGGAAGGGTGATGGACCTCCTGGACCTCCTGAGGACGAGGGTCTGAGACAGAAGCTCTGACAACCGACGCCCAGGAACTCCTGTCTCGTGAGCACCCAGCGGGACTGCGCACACATGTGCGCGTGACGACGAGGCCCCGCCCCTGCGGCTGGCCGCCCCG